AAAACAATGAGCTGAAATAGACTTTCTGTATCCATAAAATTCCAATGGAAAATAGTTAAACAAACAAGGAAGACTGTGCATTTGACAAGCGTTGTGGTAGTGTCGGTATAGTTGTCGAAAGCTCACTACTATTGTCCTACTAGAATAGAAGTTCTCAACCTTTCAGGGGTCGAACAGCCCTTTCACAGGGGGTTGCCTAAGACCATAGAAAAACATATATTCACTCAAGTTATAAACTAGCAACAAAACTAACTGTATGTTTGTGGGTCGTTACAGCATGAGGAACTGTCTTGCTAGTCACGCTCACTATCTGCACAGGCCGTGGTTCACACATCTCCCTACAGCACAATATAACTCTATCATCCGAAAAGATTGAAAGGTACCAATAAATCTCAGATCAGTAAAAAGGGGCCCAATGCAATGATGTAATAATATCTAAAGCAGATGAAGCAGACCAAGAAAGACCGTGACCACAAATTTAGCTGAATAGATGGGTTTAATGTAGGAAATCCTTACGTCCGGTGAATCTTATCGCCAGAAACGGAAAAAAGTCAATGAAACAGTCAACAGCAACTCAGTGTTATGGGACTCTGGACAGACAGCTATAGAAACACTTGTGTGTTACGGGTTCCCTGATTGGTAAAAAGACATTTAACACTGCACGTTATCAGGCATGCTATAAGAGGCAACTATGGGGCTTGGGATTGGTAGAAAAGACATGTAACATTGCATATCATCAAGCATGTTATAAGAGGCAATTATGGGGCTCGGCTACCTCATTCAATTAAAAAAATAGGTGCTTGGAAATGGGTCCTTTTTCCTGACATTACAATGGCTGATCCCTCTTAAAGTACCTCAACAAGTATTTGAGTGTTGCATGCCAAACTGAAATCCTACCCATGTCACAAAAAGGCTGGCCAGGGCACACACAATGGAATCCCCACAGCAACAACAGAGAAAGACATATTCAGACAGGGAAACATCTCACAGAGACAATAAGTCGAAAGAAATGGCAAAACAAACCATATAAGCCAAAAAACTCAGCACAAATAAACCAGACCATAATTATAATCGAAGTCGTCTTCAGCAGCGTTAAACATGGTCAATCTTTTTACCTTAAAGAACTCCCCAGCTGAAATCCACCAGAAAAAGAATTGGGTGGAGCCAAAAAGAAAAGCTAGATGGTCTGGATTTCGTCAATGATATTTCTCTCCTATTCTCACTTACAAAATTAGACACAAGATAAATTAAACATATTTGATGAGAGATCATAATTCGTTCTAAAAATCCACAGGGTAAAGACACAAATATTGAGAATAAACCAGACAAACTCTAATCCAGTTTCACCTGGTAAAATCCCACTGCAAGATGTAGAATCCTACAACTGTTTAGGCAACAAAGATAGAGGAATTGATTGAGATATAAAAATATGAAGACAAAAGTCAAGAGGAGTTTTATTCATCATCATCATCATCATGTAGCAGATCCTTTGCAGAATGTCGCTCTCATCATGGTTTGCCAGAAAAAAAAAACTTGGTCTCTTGCCAGCTCTCCCACCTCATGTACTTTCACACTCAAGGAGTAACTTATATCCCCTGCCCATCTTCATGTTGGTCGACCCCTGCCTCTCCTTCCTGGTACCATGCCTTCTGCTATTATTTTTTACAATCCGTCTTGGCGCTTGATATGACCAAAATATTTCAGCTTCTGAGACAGGATGCTGTTTATTAGCCAATCTTCCTTGATGTTTAGATCTTTCAAGATGTCAGTATTTCTCCTCTTCTTTGTCCAGGATATTCTGAGAATCTTTCTATAGCATTTCAGTTCAAAAGCCCCTCTTCTCTTTCTTAAGGACTGGGAGATAGTCCACGACTCACATCTGTATGATGCTACAGTTTTATTAGCACTAGAAAATCTATGAAGTCTAAAAAAATTCAAACTAGTAGTAAATTTAAAATATTTAGCTATAATGTCAAACTAGTATGGCTGCAGAAAGTTGAAGAACAACTAAACCAGTTATGAACAAACTACAAATAGTCATTTACTGGTGCCTATGCAGAATGGTGTCGGCTCTGTGGCTAAGTCGATGCGAACACTTCGTTTCGTAATGCCGGGATGCCGGGTTCGATTCCAGCTGCGGGCAATGCGCCTTGCGTTGGTTTCGACAGTGGTATCAAGAAAGCCGACCGTCCAGAAAGCAATGGCAAACTACTGGACGTAAATTTGCCTAGAGAAACCACACAACAGCCAGGGGCTGTTAGGGTTGGTTCTGCAACGTCCTGTAAAGGATACGCAGCAACTGATGCAGAATGGTGAGAAAAAAATGGTATGAACAACTAATGTACAGCTTTGGTAGAGAACTAAATTATTTCCAGTCAATAGAAATGTGAGAAGATGCTGATCTTGGATAGGCCACACATTGAGAAAACCTGATAACAATACAACTAAAATGTTTTTGCATTGGGACCTACAGCATCAACAAAAAAAAAAGGCAGATCTCTCTCTCACACACACAAAACACATGAAGGAGGGAACTAGAGAGGGAAACGAAGAAGAAAGCATGGGGTGAGTTGCATGCAACAGCAACAGATAGGAAGACTAGGCAGGAGTTGATTGAGGGCCTATGCTCCACTAGGGGATAAACAGCAGAAGAAGAGAAATGTAAAATTGAAATACAGGACCAACTACTTTCTTACTTAGTCACATCTCTTCTACCCTGGGGTGTGGAAATTTGCCAGAGAGATCGCCAGACTTCACTATTAGGGCTTTTCTTTCTGGCTTTGTTCCACTCCAGTCCTCTGTCAGTCAGGGGCTGTCAGATGTTGTCTTCCCAACAGACCCTGGGTCACCCTGGAGGTCTGGTACTTAGCATTCATTGGTGGCAGATTTTCTCCCATGTCCATACATGTCCAAACCATTGTAACCATGACTGATCCACTGGAGTTTGTAAGGCCTGGGTTTCCAGATATTGATGTACTGTCTGGCTGCGAACTTTGTCCCTTCATGTCATTTGGACCATCTTTCTCAGATATCTCATTTCTGAGGGCCATCTAATTATTAATGCTAAATAATATATAAATTGCATGTGCTATATTCTTTTACAATATAGAAGAAACAAAAATTCCTCTAATGAAAAAAATATACTACCCCTACTATATAAGACGTACGGCTACTAAATATATTCTTATACAGTTTAAACAAATATGTAATTTTTGAGCATATAAACCTACACCTGCTTGTGTATTTAAATGTTCAACACAGGAGAATACAACACAAATCTACACCAGCAAGTATGTGTAGCAATTATATGCCTGGAAAAACATCAATACATGTACAAATCAATGTTGTATAATCCCTCTGTGTGTTCGGGTGCCATTTCTGGAGAACACAGAATAGCCCCAATACCTCTTAACAAGCATGTTTTAAAGCGACTGATTAAAGGTTTTCTGAAACTGGATGGATGGAGCCGAAAGGTGCAGATATTGCAGCTTAGTTGTAACATATAAGATTATATTTAGTCAAAGAATACTAAAAGAAACCTGGCAACAAATGCACATTTTAGCAAGTTACTTATATCGTTACAGACTTGGTCCCTATGAAAATAATACATGTGTGTTGATGCAATAAATGTCTCCATTAGGAGGCTCTTGTGACCCTTCAGGACTGAAAAAGTAAAGGCTTTTAAAATAGTGAAAATCCAATTTGCTTGTTCCAAGGAAGGAGATGAATACTCATTGAGGAATCAATGTGCAGTAAAGTTAGTATTTCACAAACACAAAGCTTTGGCTGAAGCTTATGAACATTCTTCAAGGTTTGCACATTATGAGTGCCAACTTGCACATTATGCGCACTAACCAGCACCGATGTATAAAAGTTATGGTTCGAGAAGGCTGACAAAATGGAGAAAAAGCTGGTTCTGCACAGACCCACACACACACACAAAAGTATTTACATATCGTGACAATGCAAAGCAAACAGGAAAATAGAAGGAGCAGAAGAAAAATTAGGAAAAAGAGAAGGAAGAAGATGAAAGGTATAAAGAAAAAAAAAATATATATATGTATGTGTGTGTATATATATATATATATATATATATATATATATATATATATATATATATATATATATATATATATATATATATATATATATATATATACATATACACGTAAAGAAACTAATCAGGAGCAACAAACACTGGAATCAAAATTTAATCCATATGACAAAATATTGTTCCTTCAACCCTCTTGCTCTGTGAAGCATGAAACTTTAGAGGCTTGTTCACAAGGAGTCCCACTAAAAGCACTGTTCCCATGATTTTTTTCTTGTGCAAATTTTTAGAATGAATAGTAATGAACACAGCTGCTAAATATAGCCTTTAGATGGGGTTTCCTTGTGGAAAATTGCTTTATTAAATAGAAATTAAGACAGCAGAATTTCCGGTTAGTTACTGTGGTAACCGGTGGCCTGGTTACAAAGGTCAAGAACGGGTCTTGTCAAACATTTGCTTAAAAGCTGAGTGATGTAACCCAGTCAACTTTCAGTGCCACTTTGTGTTTATTGATTACTCCCACAATTGTGCATGCAATTAAATATTGTTTTAGTCCCTAAACGAAAATTTTTTTCTTTTAAAATAATACTGTTTTGGGAAAACCTGAAATTAAAAAAAGATGTATGCATTGTTTTTTCTTTCCTTCCAGGTCACCAGCGTGAAAGGGTTAATTAGTGTCTGCGTGTGCATGTTTGTGTAAACATGTGTCTTAGAAATGAAGATATCTATTTCATACAATAAAATTATTAATCCCAAAATATGATTCCCTGTACTCATGCTTATTCCCACATTTACTGAATCCCTCATTTCAATGTAAAATCACAGCAGAAACAAAATAGGATACAAATACAATATATATATTTATTATGAACATACAGTGGAGCATTCTATGTAATAAACATGAAACTAACAACCTCACACCAGATGAAAGGTTGGGGGAGAAAAAAAGCTACAACAGTGAACCAGCTTCCTGCTCAATCTGCTGTAAAATTTCCCGCTCCAGATCGTCATCTGCTGTGTTACCTTCATCACCTTCCCCACCAACAAGTTCGTAGTCCTGTAGTTCCTGTTGCAGCTCTTTCTCCCACTCTTCACCTGTTCAAGAGAATGAGAACAAACAGAATAAACACACCACAAATATAGCGTAAACACTTAACTAACTCATAGGTTAGAAGTGGAAATATTAACAACAGATGTAACTATACAAATGCTTTTTCATGTAAATATAAATACAATTATAAAAATCCTTTTCTTTACCAAAAGTAATAAATACTAAGCTCTGTCAACATAAATTTTAAACAAGCATTCATGCAAAATCACAAGCATGTCATCATCATCTTGTTGCATCATTTATTTTATGAAGCTCACAGTCAATCCTCCATTTTGTTCTATCCTGGGCAATCTTTTCAATATCATACATAGATGACCTTTGATCTTTATGAATGTACAGGTTTCTCGTGGACATCCTTGCTTCCTCAATCCATCTGTTTCTCACTCTAGGTGCCGGTGTGATGATTCCCTGTCTGCACAAGCACTACAAACACATACTACTAATAGAAGGATGATTATATGTATACTCAGTGATTCAATGAGTATGATCCGGAGGGTTCAGGCAGGTTCAGTGCGAAGACAATGGCTTGAATCATTACAGAAGTCCACTGTGCGTGGAGTCACCTTTATTTTTGTTCCGGGACACGCAGGCGTCGATGGAAATGAAAGAGCTGACAGGTTGGCTGGATCCGCTATCACTACCGACGGTCGGCCTATGGATCATGCTGATATTATCAATGCCCTCAGAGAAATGGGAAGGATAGAGGACTTTGGTGGCAGTGAATCCACATCACTCGCCAGAATGGCAGACTTGGGAATTAAGATCGGCACAGCAAAAAACGAGACGCACACCGGACACGTCAGAAGACTTGTTAATCAACATAGAACTGGTACTATTAGCCATCGGACGTTGGGGTTCATACTGAGGGGAGGATCTGAGCACCTATGGACATGTCCGGAGTGCAATGACGATAACCCAACTAACTAACTAACTAACTAACTAGAAGGATGATTCTTCTTCTTAAAGTCCATTCTTTGTCTGCACAAGCACTACAAACACACACTACTAATAGAAGGATGATTCTTCTTCTTAAAGTCCATTCCGTGTCTGCACAAGCACTACAAACACACACTACTAATAGAAGGATGATTCTTCTTCTTAAAGTCCATTCCGTGTCTGCACAAGCACTACAAACACACACTACTAATAGAAGGATGATTCTTCTTCTTAAAGTCCATTCTTTGTCTGCACAAGCACTACAAACACACACTACTAATAGAAGGATGATTCTTCTTCTTAAAGTCCATTCTGTGTCTGCACAAGCACTACAAACACACACTACTAATAGAAGGATGATTCTTCTTCTTAAAGTCCATTCCGTGTCTGCACAAGCACTACAAACACACACTACTAATAGAAGGATGATTCTTCTTCTTAAAGTCCATTCTTTGTCTGCACAAGCACTACAAACACACACTACTAATAGAAGGATGATTCTTCTTCTTAAAGTCCATTCCGTGTCTGCACAAGCACTACAAACACACACTACTAATAGAAGGATGATTCTTCTTCTTAAAGTCCATTCCGTGTCTGCACAAGCACTACAAACACACACTACTAATAGAAGGATGATTCTTCTTCTTAAAGTCCATTCCGTGTCTGCACAAGCACTACAAACACACACTACTAATAGAAGGATGATTCTTCTTCTTAGAGTCCATTCTTTGTCTGCACAAGCACTACAAACACACACTACTAATAGAAGGATGATTCTTCTTCTTAGAGTCCATTCTCTGTCTGCACAAGCACTACAAACACACACTACTAATAGAAGGATGATTCTTCTTCTTAGAGTCCATTCTGTGTCTGCACAAGCACTACAAACACACACTACTAATAGAAGGATGATTCTTTTTCTTAAAGTCCATTCTGTGTCTGCACAAGCACTACAAACACACACTACTAATAGAAGGATGATTCTTCTTCTTAAAGTCCATTCCGTGTCTGCACAAGCACTACAAACACACACTACTAATAGAAGGATTATTCTTCTTCGTAAAAGTCCATTCCGTGTCTGCACAAGCACTACAAACACACACTACTAATAGAAGGATGATTCTTTTTCTTAAAGTCCATTCTGTGTCTGCACAAGCACTACAAACACACACTACTAATAGAAGGATGATTCTTCTTCTTAAAGTCCATTCCGTGTCTGCACAAGCACTACAAACACACACTACTAATAGAAGGATGATTCTTCTTCTTAAAGTCCATTCTGTGTCTGCACAAGCACTACAAACACACACTACTAATAGAAGGATGATTCTTTTTCTTAAAGTCCATTCTGTGTCTGCACAAGCACTACAAACACACACTACTAATAGAAGGATGATTCTTCTTCTTAAAGTCTATTCTGTGTCTGCACAAGCACTACAAACACACACTACTAATAGAAGGATGATTCTTCTTCTTAAAGTCCATTCTGTGTCTGCACAAGCACTACAAACACATACTACTAATAGAAGGATGATTCTTCTTAAAGTCCATTCTGTGTCTGCACAAGCACTACAAACACACACTTCTAATAGAAGGATGATTCTTCTTCTTAAAGTCCATTCCGTGTCTGCACAAGCGCTACAAACACACACTACTAATAGAAGGATGATTCTTCTTCTTAAAGTCCATTCTGTGTCTGCACAAGCACTACAAACACACACTACTAATAGAAGGATGATTCTTCTTTTTAAAGTCCATTCCGTATCTGCACAAGCACTACAAAAACACACACTACTAATAGAAGGATGATTCTTCTTCTTAAAAGTCCATTCTGTGTCTGCACAAGCACTACAAACACACACTACTAATAGAAGGATGATTATTCTTCTTAAAGTCCATTCTGTGTCTGCACAAGCACTACAAACACACACTACTAATAGAAGGATTATTCTTCTTCGTAAAAGTCCATTCTGTGTCTGCACAAGCACTACAAACACACTACTAATAGAAGGATGATTCCTCTTCTCAAAGTCCATTAAGTATCTCCACAAGCACTATAAACACTTAATACTAATAGAAGGATGATAAATATTTATGAATATCTATTTATCGATTCATACTTTTACACTTTTCTTGTATATTGTGTTTTAATTAAGGTACATCACAGATGTTATCTTGATATTACAGTTCACAATGTTCAAAATATTAACTTTAAAATGAATCTAAAGATTCCTTGACCAGAATGAGCAGAGGCATGAAAAATACAAATATCACAAGTTAAAAAATCAGCTCACTTAAAAATTGTTAGTGTGGCCTGTTCTTCTGAATGGATAAAACTGCTAGGACAATTAGTAATGACAGAGTGAAGAAAAATGAGGCTGAAGTTTTTATTTTTAAAAGAATATTTTGAACAGAAAAGAAAACAAACAGGGGTTGGGGGGGGGGGGGGGGGGGGGGGGGGGGGGTCGTGAGTGACGCCTGAAGATCTTACAAGATCACTGATCAAAGCCTTTAAAAAAAAAAGACAATATTTGTAGTGCCTGTTAATGTCATACTGCATTTCTGTAGTGTCTCTGTCACTCCCTCCACCCATCTCTTTCGCCATCAGCCCCTTGACTTGTATTTTGCTGTTCTCATGTAGTACACCCTCCACCCATCTCTTTCGCCGTCAGCCCCTTGACTTGTATTTTGCTGTTCTCATGTAGTACATCCTCCACCCACCTCTTTCACCGTCAGCCCCTTGGCTTGTACTTTGCTGTTCTCATGTAGTACATCCTAGCTGCCGGCTGATTTTGTTCCACTGTGACCAGATGACCAAACCAATTGATTCCCTGATGTTCGATTCAATTAGTTACTGGTACTGAGCCTAACATTTTTCTAGCTCTTCGTTAGTGACTCACTCTCTTCTTGTTTCCCCTGCAGAATTTCTTATGTTGTAATTTTCTAGGACTGTCCATGTCTGGGAATGAATTATTAATTGCTAGAAAAGTTGTTTTTTTTAAACTGCCATTACTGCTTGTATTTACAACTTTTGCAGTGTAGGCGGGAAAACAAAGGGTGGGGGGTGTCTGAACCTGAGGATTTAGTACTGCAAGCCTAGTACTGTTGCCATAAAAAGAGCTGGTTAGGATTTTATTTCCACCCCCCACAGAAACAATCTACAACCTTGCTGTAGATCTGCATGAGAGTCCAGCGTTCTTAACCCCTCGATAAGCCACTCCTCTATAATAAGGTGCTATACTAAAACAACAAGACATGTCTGCATAGTCAATTTTACTTCACAAAAGCTAACCCAATATTACAGTCACATCAGAAATATTACTCAATGAAAAAGTGCTCTTCTGATACATTTGACTATGCTCTAAAAGTTAGTCATCAATAAAGAAACACAACTCTCATAAAAATAAAACAATTAAGCACTACAGAAAAGGTGGTATTCTATCTAATGCTAAGAGTAACGTGAAAACTGTGGGAGGAGAGGTTACAACTGGGAGACCATATACAATGTAGTATGTATGCATTTATTTAATAGGTAATTTAAACAAGAAAGTTTAAAAAAAAAAAAAAAGCTGGGAGCTGGGATAATTTCTTTTTTTCTTTTGGGAGCTGGAATAATTTCTTGTTTTCTTCTGGGAGCTGCAATAATATCTTGCTTTCTTTTAAGAGCTGGAATAACGTCTGTCTTTCCACTGGGAGCCAGAATAATTTCTTTTCTTCTACTGGGAGCTAGAATGATGTCTTTCCTTTTTTGTTGAGAGCTGAAATAATGTTTTTCTTTCTTTTGGGAGCTGGAATAATTTCTTTCTTTCTTTCTCCTTCTTTCCAAACAGGTGCCTTCTCCACAATGCAAGTTGGCTGCAGTGGACCTGCAACACACTGTCTCATCTTGGTAGTAGTCTCTCTCAGGTAGTAGTCTCTCTCAGACTGCTGTTCGCCTATCTCACGATGTTGTCCCCCCAAATGTTCATAGTCTACCTCTTGCTCTCCCATCTTCAATTCTCACCTCCAGCATGATTTTTAAAAGAGTTTTATGTCTTTTAATATGGCC